CTCCCAAACTGAGAGAAATGAGCTATTCTAAAATGTGAGATCTCATCTCCCCACGCTCTCAGCGATTTTCCCTTTTGTCCTTTATTCCCTCTCCACTGTCTCTCTCCCTCCACTCCGTGGTAAATCACTGCCAGGATTGCAGTTGCATCTCCAAGTTTATTTATGTGGTGGATAAGCGTGAAACAGCCCAGCAGCTTTGAGGATGGCACGTGCTGTACATCTGCTCACAGCTCCTGCCAGCAAACTGGGAACTGCCCTTCCAGAGAGAGCCCACACTTGGTACCTGTTCACCTGCGCTCTGGGTCATCCCAGGATTGCTGTACCTTCACACATCAGGGATCCCGAGCTCTCAGTTGTAGGAAAAAGGCTTTCCCAATAAGCCAAGGGCAAGGGAAACTCAATTCTCTGGCTGTCCCTCCCTGACAGCACAGAGGGGATTTGCTCAGTGTTCTAAGCTATGCTCAGCAAGGTCAAATTTGGCACTTAAACCTGCCCAGCAGAGCCTGGGGGRTGAGTAGCCCAGAGTCACAGTCCAGTTTCTCCAGGGTGTGGTTAAAAGTCCTCTTGCCAAATTAGAGCCCAAATAACACAGAAAGGCACAGAGGTGGAGGGCAGGGCTGTCTGTCACTCCTCATACTCTTGTCCATCCCTCTTGTGGGTCACAGCTGCCCGCAGAGGTTTGAGCCTGGGACGCTTTGGGGCTGTTGTTTCAGAAACACTGCGACAGGCAGAAGGCAAACCTGAGGATCCGCTTCAAGCCCTCGCTCTTCCAGCACGTGGGAACCCACTCCTCCTTGGCTGGGAAGATACAGAAGCTGAAGGTGGGTACAAGCTCTCTGTCCAAGCTGCAGTGACCTGGCCTGCAGGCACCCAGAACTGGCTGCCTTTGGGTGGGGACATCAGGGGCAGCAGCTGGTGGCAGTGGATTTCTGTGCAGTGGTTGTGTTTTATTCTGAGTTACAGTGAGCTCAGGTAGCTCCTGCTTCTCAGAATGGCAGTGACATGCACCAAGAGTCACTGCAAGATTTTAAGCCTTGGTATCAGTTCTGGCATCCATCTTGAGTGCCAGACCATGGTCCAGGCAAGAGACTTCAAAGAATCTGCTGATAAACCTCGGRGAGATGACTTCTGGGTTGGTCTGACCACCTTCCCACCCCACTCCATGTTCCTGGGATTTAGTGAAAATTTAGAACCCTCTGTGTAATGGCTGGAATTGTTGATGTGTGTTTAAACATGATGCAGCTTTCCTCAGCTGCAAGGACAGAATCCACGGGCACACATCCCTGGGCTGCACTGTGTGATCGCCAAGGAAATGATTGGTATAATCCAGTTTGTATCACAGTGCAGTGCTGTCAGRCCATGTAATCCAGGCATTTTATGCTATTTTCAGCCTCTCAGCTGCTTTCTCTTCAATTTCCAGAGCTCCTGGGTCAGGGACAGRCATTCAGGGAGATTTGGACAATGAAAGGCTCCTTCCTGTGCTGGATCASAGCACAGAGCAGAGCTGCCTCTCCTGAAGCTGTGTCCTGGGATCTAGTCACACATTTCCCTGCCTGATACCTTCCCCAGATCACTTCCATCTCTCATCCTTCTGTGCCCTGCAAATCACAAAATTTTAATTTGCAGTTCCTTGTTGCAAGGCTCTTAACAGGCCAGAGCAGCTCATGGTCCTTTTCTGCCCTTTTGCTTTGTGCCCACCAAGGACAAGGACTTTGGGAAACAGGCGCTGCGRAAAGAGCATGTCAACCCTCCTGCTGAGGTGAGCACCAGCCTGAAAACTTACCAGCACTTCACCTTGGAGAAGGCTTACCTGCGGGAGGACTTCTTCTGGGCCTTCACTCCCACCGCCGGAGACTTCATCCGATTCCGGTTCTTCAAACCTCTCCGTATCGAAAGGCCAGTGCTTGTGGGGTCAGCAGSGGGGTGTGGGGACAGCCCAGAGCCTGTGGAGACACTTGACTTTTGCTCTTCTGGCCGTTTACATCAAATTTCTTACCCATCTTCTGTTTGACTGTCCAGGAGGAGGGAGCAGTGTTCTTCCAGGGGAAGGATGGTTTGACCCTTTCTTGGTGGGACATTTGCCAGAGCCCTGTGCTTTCCTAATCTGGCACAGAAAATCTGCCAAATCRTGCCGTGGGCTCATTGGGAAGGTGCCTGTTAGTTTGAGCTTCTTGATGGTTCAGATGGGGTGAAAGTCCCCTCGCTCACTGTGCCTTTCCATGGGTTTGGTCTTCAGGTTCTTCTTCCGCAGCGGGAACATCGAGCACCCAGAGGACAAACTCTTCAACACGACCGTGGAGGTTCTGCCGTTTGACGTAAGTGTTTGATTGAGAATTGAGGTGAGGGTGGAGTGGGAAGCAGAAGAGGCTCGAGAGAAGGGAACTGCTTCAAGCCATCAGGAAAATCTTTACAAGATTCGAGTGCCTCTTAGAGGTGCTGGTTGGGAGCCAGCGGGGCACGCCTGGTGTGCTGCTACCTCAGGAGTGAGGTCTTTGCTAAGCACTGCTGTGTGATCCATCCCTGCCTGCAGAGGGGATGCTCCAAAGGGTGGGATTGCTGCAGAGGAGGGGATGGGGCCASAATGGTGCAGTGGAAGCAGCAGCATGAGCATTGCAAATGTCCTTTTTGGGTATGTGTCTCAGGGTGCCAGGTATGGGACAAGATGCCAGGGTTTGCTCTGCGGTTGCTGCTTTTCCTTGGGGCTTTTGGGTGACTCTGGCCTCTGGCCTTGCACAAAACTCCTCTCCTTGTGCAGAGCCTGCAGTCAGATAAGGAAGCCTTGCAGGAGGGAAGAGGCACAGCGGTCAAATACCGCAGGACAGCGGAYGGCTACATCCAGATAGGTACGGGGGAGTGTGGGGTGGGGAAGTGCCTGCTGGCTTTGATAACACAGCCATGTCCTCACCTGCACATCAGTGAAGAACCTCAGAGCTGTTTGCTTGGCCAAGAGTAATTTCTGCTTGCCAGGAGCCAGGCTGGAACAGGATTTAATTGTCATTGTCTTCTCTCCTCCACTGCCTTCCCTCTCAGACCAGGTTGTCCTCTTCAGATGGTTTTCAGTCCTGCCTTTCTGCTAGTCTCTGCTCAGAGCTGGGACCAAATGTGCACATTATCCATTTGCTTAAGCTGGGTTTAAAAACCTCCACTGTGGGCAGAGGAGGGCATCTTTGTTTTTGCAGACTCACCACTTGCAGGTCAGACTTGGTCTCTTGCTACTTGTGCTTGCTTTAGTGCTTGTCTTGCTCTTGGACAGGAAGGAGCAACTGCAGTCTACAGGGACCTGCCACTGTGTGGTACAGCCCTGGTGTCCCTGCTGTCGTTTTTTTTTAAATTTTTTTAATTAGACAAATAAAAGAAAAATTCCTGTAACATAGAGTGTTTTGCCATTTTCTCATTCCTCTGCATGCTGGCTGGTATCTCCCAGTTGCATTTTCAATAAAAAACAACCATCACACCCAAAATGCACGTCAGGCCACTCTGTCCCCTTTCTCACAGCAGCAATATTTAGCCAAATACTCCCTTTTTTGTTTTGTTTAGCTGGTTTTTGTTCTCCAAAGTGTCACATTTTGCACTCTGTTGCCATCCACGCTGCTGGTTTCCAGCCCTTCTCTTGGGGAGCCGCAGGCAGGGGCTGCCAGGGCTGTTGGTGATGCCCATGGGGAGAGGGGGAGGKGGAGGGGCAATGCCAGGGGGTCATCCCTGTGTCACCCACGTGCTCTCCCTGCCAGGTTCATTCTCCAAGGGCGTCGCAGAGGGCGAGGTGGACCCATCTTTTGGGCCRCTGGAGGCCATCAGGCTGTCCATCCAGACAGACTCCCCAGTGTGGATCATCCTGAGCGAGGTAAACTGAGCTCCCTCAGCACCTCCCCACCACTGCCCCACACGTAACTCTGATCCCATGCCTCTCTTCTTTCAGATTTTTATCAAAAAGGCAGAGTGAAACRGGCACGAGGCAGAAGGGACACGCTCGTGGATCCCTGGTCCTGCTCCCTCCCTCCCGCTCCCTCCTCCCCGCGGCGCCTTGCCCGGACCAGGACAGCGCAGGGGCCGGCTGCTGGAGGTGGCACTGGCCCACAGACCGTGGCACTGGCCCACAGACCGTGGCACTCGCCCACAGACCGTGGCAAAGCTGCTGCTGGGCCGGCATCCACCAGCCCCACAGGGCCAGGACGGGCACCGGCATCTCCTGAAGAGGAGCACAAAGCAGAACCCAACCCCGTGCGAGGGGTGGCTTTGCTGCGCTCCCTCGGGTGCTYGGGACACACGGACACGGGACAGTTTGGGGTTGGGGTGAGCTATAGCCAGCGTGGGGACAAAAAGCACCTTCAGCCCCAGACAGGGTKGTCTTTGGCTGCATTTGGGGACAGCAGGTGACAAAGTCCTGCCAGCTGACCCCGCCGGCGCGCTGGGATGGAGGCGGCAGGGACCGAGGTCTGCCTCGCCCTCTCCCAGGCAACAGTCCTGGCCACAGCTGAGGATTAAGTGAGGGCAAAGACTGACCCTCCTTCAGCAGAGGAGGAATGAATCCAAAGGGGTTGGAGCTACGATTATGGCAGGGAAAACAAAAAAAAAAAAAATACGCCACACTGTGCCTGCCAGCATTGAACACAGCCCCTTCACTCACAGTGAAGTCTCCACTGTCTTCATGCCTTGAGATTGAGTGCAGAAACTGTCTTTTTTTAAATAACTATTTCAGTTAYTGATTGATGTGGGTTTTTTGGGGAAGAAAAAAAGCAGAAGTAGCCCAGTTCAAAAATAGTAGGGATTAGTGTAAATCCCAATGTCCTTTCAGCTATACACTGGAATGCATTATACTACTTTAATGTGCTGTATTTTTTATTATTGGATACATTTGATTTTTCAAGTACATCTCTCTAYATAAATATATAAAATAATGTGCACTGTAATAAAAGCTAAATTTAAACTTTCGGTGCAGCAGTGAGAGTCCCTTGCAGCAGGGCTGCTGTAGATGCCTGCGAACCCCAAATTCACAGTGGAGTGAACTGCAGGATGGGTGATAAGTGAAACTGGGGCCAGGTGAAAGTCATTCCATCAATCCCAAACACAGACTTCACCTGGATTAGGGTCAGGCTTTTCTCCCAATATTTGGATACAGTTTTAGGCAAGTTTACCCACTCTTTCCAGTAAATCACAACAGCTTTCCTATGAGGCCCAKTGCCCAGCTCAGATGTTCTCACACCAGTCTCTGAGCACCTTTGACAATCACAGGTGATTTCTACTGAGAAGAAKAATTTATTTTCATATATCCATGGTGTGATTCTTCAACACAGATCAATACAGCAATAAGGAGGAGAGATGAGAGCATATGGGTCAGTCTGTGCTCCAGGAGGCAGAGCCAGAGGCATTTTAGAGCAGACAGTGCTACAAAGCCCAGCAGTGAAGCTCCTCAGCAGGGGCTGGGGCTGGARAGCATTTGCTTTCTAGAAGGGAAATTATCTTTGAAGAGCAGAGGAGTGCCAGCATCCACCTCCCTTCAGAGGCAAATGGAACAAGGGAAATATTCTCTCTCTGATGGTGCCACGTGACTGCCTCTCCTGTGCCAGGRGCAAACAGTGGATTTCGGGATGGCCGTGGCTCCTCTCACCAGGCACCATGTAGCTGGAGTGTCCGCGCCAGTGCTGCCATCCATGAGGAGGAGCTGAGCTCCAGGAAGTGTGCCAGGAGCCCAGACAGTGCCAGCCCCAACAGCAGCCAGAGCAGCCAGGCACTGGCATACAGTGGCCCCAACCTGATGGAGAAAACACCGTCAGGCACTGCCCAGCCAGGGCACAGGGCATGCTGGCAGGGCTGGGATCCCCACCCTCCTTTGGGACAGTCAGGGAAGGGTGACAAAACCATGAGCGCATGAGGATAGGAGGGGAGGAGGAGGAGGTGGTGCAAATCCACCCTCAGTCCCAGCCGTGGGGAGGAATCCTGTTCCAGGAGCCACAGGCTGCTCCCAGCCTCCCTGGGCAGGTTTGGGGTGCCCACTCACCGTCCCTGTGCAGCCTCGGTGTATCCCTGGAAGTACTTGAGGCGGCTGTAGAGGTACAACAGCCCACACGCCGCAGTCACACCTGTGGGGAGAGAGAGGGGAGTCCAGTTTTGGTGGGGCTGGGCACCCCTGGGCGCTGCTGGAGCTGCATTCCACCCCACACCCTGCCTGCCCCAGCAGCTGGGGCATGGCCACAGAACCAAACACAAAGGGATTTGGTTCTAAACCACTGTGGGGGGGTTAAAGGAGTTTTTCCCTTCCCTWTTTGTGGGGGATGAACTTCTGTGTCCCACTGGGACTTGGGCTGGCAACRCTCCCTTATGAGGTTTCTCCTCACAGCCTCCCTGTGGCAGCAACCAAATCCCCTGAGCTCACTTGGTACGGGATGGACAGTGGATGAGTGACTGTTTGGGCTGTGGTTTCTCGTTCTGACCCAGTTCTGCCTCAGCTGCTGCCACACTGGGATCCTGGGACAGGCTGACCTTGTCCAGGAGGAGCAGCACGAGGGGACAGCAAAGGAGCAAGGGCTGCCAGTGCCTGCTCCTCCAGGCAGGAATGGGCTCAGCTGCTCCCAGCTGGAGTTGGGGCACTTCCTGGTCAACCCAGCTAAAGGGGAAATTTGCTTTCCATGACCAACAGCCTCTTGGGCACAGAGAGAATGTRCCTGAGTCACAACAGGATTTCAATTGGGGTTGGRGTTTTTTGTTTGTTCACGAGGTTTCAGTTGGACTTACCCCCCACACYCCTCTTACCTTGATGGAAGAAGATTCCAGCAACCCAGAGGAGGGAAATGAAGATGGGGAAGTACTCGGAACAGTTTGCCCTGGTGAAGATAAGAGATGAAAGTTAAAACTGCCTCCTTGTACATCRGAGCCTGGATCACCAAGGCTGGAGAACGGAATTGGAAACTCACATTGGAGCAAGCTGGAAGAGCTGATAAGAACCATTGCTGTGCTGTAGGAAAGGGGCTTTTTCTGTGATCAAGAACACCCARTATTTGTATTTTAGAGGGAAAAAAGCACCCACACAACACACAGCATTCACCTCTCCCGCAGTCACATCACCCTGGGATGACAATCGGTGGCTGAGATGGAGATTTGTCTGTGCTGAACTCTCGGTGGGTTCCATCCCATCCACAGCCCCACCACAGACAGCTGCTGCACCTCCAGCTGCTGGGGGAGAGCCTTCTGGTCAGCATTTATGAAGCTTTGTCTTCCCCTGGGGTGAGCACAGCCCAAATTTGGGTGTTACACRAGCCATGCTCCAAGAAGGAGCCTTCTCTCAGATAAAATTCAGCAGAAGGTGATCAGATCTGCAGCCAGGTTCTCTTCTTCCTTTCTCCTTTAGTGACAAAAATACAGATTTTCTGCAAGAAGGGTAGGAGCTTTACTTTTAAAGATACTGGGTTTGCTTTTCAATTTCTCCTACATTTTACCATTCCCTAGGCAATTAAATTTTGGCCAAAAATGTAGCAACCTTTGGAGAATGGAGCCAGACTGGGAGCTGGAAAAGGTCTGAAGAACCTTATGCTGTAAATACAGTTTGAGCCCCAGTGAGGGGAGGCTGCCAGGTTTCTGCAAGTGAGTAATACATCAATACCACTTTTTCCCATTTTTKTTTCAATATATCAAATTATCCRTTTRTATACTWTTCCACAAGGAAAAGAGAAGAAAAACCCACAAAGAAGCAATACCTTCTCAAGTCCAAGCTCCCTGAGGTCACCTTTTCTGCAGATTATAGCCAGGACTTCCCAGAACACCACAGCCCATGGCATGACTTGGTTAATACTCATTTAATAGTTAAGTATTTAWTTAAATGCCACATCAGCAGCTCCCCAGCTCGCAGAGGCTGATGTCTCCAGGCAGGCTGGCCTTCCATGGCACCACAGAAGGGCTGAAGAGGGTGTTTTTGTCACTCCACAAATGTTTCCTGTACGCTGGCAAGGGAATGCAGCTGCTTTGTTTGGGATTTAGTGCCGTGCTGGAACTACCCTTSAAACCAGCTCCGGCCAATTCCTTTCAATCGCTTACAAAACACAACGACTGAGATGAAAGAAGGAATCTGGTGCTTGCTGGAAGCGAAGGGATCTGTGAACATTTCCAGTTTAGCTCCAGCGTTGCTCTCTCCATAGGAACAGAGCAAAAAGAAACAGCCYCCAGCAGGGGCCTGCGAGCGCTGGCTCTCGCAGTACAATGGCTTCTGAAAGGGAAAAAATTCAAATGTCCTCCAAGCTGGTTCTGCCAGCGAGGCCCTTTTGCTTCAATTCAGCAGCAAAACATTACAAGACAATATCAGGTTATTAATAAAGCTTTGGCTGCTCTCACCATTTGGAGCCAACTGTAATATTAAATTTAATKATTCTAATTGTTAATGCTCCACACCTCCTCCATACGGCCACTAATTTGTAATTTGGCTGCCTCACAATGCCAGAARGACAATTGTCATGGATGGACAGAACAACCCAGCCAAAGTGCTTCAAATCAAACCTCAGACCTTTGCACATAAAGCATTGGAAAAAAAAATCTACTATCAATAGCAGTAAGTAGAAAGGTGACTTGAGGGTGACCCGTCTCTCCCAGCAGTGACAGTTGACTCAAGTCTTATCYAGGCAAAAAGTCAAAATCTTACTGAGCTCTGAAGGTCCGCTCAAATTCAGGATGACCTCTTGTTTCAGGAGGGGCAATCTTGTACTTCCGACGGGCGTAGATCACCTGCATTGCAAAATAGGCTAAAAACAGAACACAGAAATAGTAACGGACCAGCAGTGTTTATTTAGCCAAACATTATCTGGCTTGAAATCTTGCCAAGTGGTTAGAATAAAAGAGCTGATATGATCTAGGTCCATAGTCCAGGGCTGTCACACATGACCTGTAATAAATGTGCCATTTATTTCACACTCCTGCTTTGAATTCAGGTTTGGTTATCACAGCTGAGTGCCAGTGGAGGATGACACTGCATCATCTCATGGCCAGCAGAGCTCTCAGTGCTGCTCCCCAGCAGATCAAACAYAATCAAACCTTACCAGGTCCACACCGAGACACAGAATTATTTCTTCATCTTGCTTTTAGAGTGTCTGTGCACCCTCAGCAAGTGCAACACTTGCTGCTATTCCTACTGGGTGCAAAGGGTGGCCTGTGTCACACAGCAGCATCCAACCTGTCAAGCACTGGGATATCATTAAGKCAATTAGAGATGCTGTTAATCATGGCAATAGAAGGAAATGGAGAARGGGGTGATTATTTCTTGCCCTTCTCTCCTGCAGGGCAGCCCCAAGGCTCCAGCAGTTCAGSAGCAGAGGTGCTGCCCATGCCTGCTCTCAGCCTGTGCCATGTTTGAGCCAAGGCACTGACTCAGTGTCTGCTGCATCACTCCTTTGTACATTTGTGAAGGACATGGAGAGTCACTTGAAAACAATGAAAACCTGCTAACACAAAGATTTGGAGYGCTTCACTATTTATTGAAAGTTCTTACTCCCACAGGCAATTGCTGATGCGCCGAGTGTTTTATTTAGGTGCACTACTACACTGCTGCCTTTATTGAAAAACTCCTATTTTCGTATAAAAATAGAGAAAACTAAATTACAAAAACAATTACTTTGGTGGCTGTGGYGGTGTCACTGAGACACTTGGGTGAGCAGAGTCCTCATATAGGAACATTTTCAGAGCATCAAGGAGCTGGGGTGCAAGGCCTGCCTTGGGAACTGTCTTATTGTAACAAAGATAAAAGCAGAACAGCAGGATAGACAAGGGGACGTGTGCCTACAGAAAAGCATTAGAACATATGTAGAAGGGAATTAGAAATGTAAATAATCTGATGCTGTGTAGCTTGTGTATCACAAGGTTTTAGTAACATAAATGCAAATAGACATTTCCTCTCAGAACACATCTAAGAACAATTAAGCATTCCACAGTGACCCAGCCCTAAATAAAAGGTGCTGAGAGATCGAGGTGGGGACACTCAAAACGAGAATGAGCATTCTTCACCCTGCTTTGTGCCATCTGCACCTTTCCTGRTGTAGGATTCTTGTGAATGATGGGTGAGGTAAGAGTCGTTCCAGATCAAACCTCTCCATCAGCTCCGTCCTCAACATCTTGCTTCTATACAGGGGCTTGTATCAGGCAAGTCCTACACAGATCCCTTACACTCGGGGTTGGGTAACATAAAACAACCACCCAAGAGGAGCAGGCTGTTCCCCAAACCTGCTGYAAAGGGTGAAGCACTAAGGATGAAGAATGAAATCCCAAAAACACTTCTCAGAATGAAGTGTTGAAAAAATCCACACTGCATGAGCCTTCTCAGTGTGGACTTTCAGAGAAAAAGAGTTCAATCTGCTCTGCAGAACCTTTTAAACCATTTTTTTCGTGATTCATGTCTCGAGGTTAATCACCTATGTGGATTCCCATGTGGCTTAGGGGYTCAGCTCTCCCTGAACTTTGCTCCTCAGTGAAAATATTCTTCATTTTCTATTTGATTATGYCCACAAACTTGTCAAATCATATCATAGCTGCTATCTGCCACATTTGAGTGAACCTGGCAAACAAGACCTGTGGGGCCTGACAGACAGTGACATTGCAAGCTTTCTTTCCTTTGAAGCCATAAAATAAAGGAGGTGGGGGGAGAATTGGGGTGGCTAATTCTGCTCTGTTGTACAAYGTTCACCACAAGGCTGGGGCACGAATCTATGAAGCACTAAGCTCAGAGCTTCACTAAACTGAGAATGACTAAATTAAAAAGGGGAAAGTACTTGAAAGAATGAGGAAACCGCAGGCTCACAGAAAATTCAAAAGAAAAAAATAAAAATCAACCAACAGTGTGCCGAGGTCAGCCATTAAATTACATCTCCTACACCAGGATGTGATGGAGGACTGTTTGCAGGAATAGCCCACGCTCGTGCTTCAGTGCTCAGAATGAACCCCAGACCTGTCACTCACCTACAGAAAGTCCTTTCAGAACATGCAGAGAAAGCCACTGCACAGCTCTCAGTTGGGCATGTGTATTTTACACAAGTAGGTGGAAAGGAAACACTCAGTATTTTGCAATTGCTCCTTGGGTTCCCATGCAGAGGTTCCCAGGACACTTTATCTGATCGAGTACAGACAGGACGGTGTCAATAATTGCTCTCTGTTGGCTTCACACCCGGGTAGGGCTTGCATGCCATGCAAGCAAAGTGCTTAAAGATGCAACCTTTAAAAAGTATTTGAAATTCTCATTAAACAAAAATATTGGAGACAAAACCGTTATCTAGGGATTTGCTACTGAGGGTTTCCCAAAGGAAAAGGGCTCAGCAGCATTTCTGTAAATCAATTTCAAGCTTTTTTCTTTGCAAACTAAACACTCTCTCCACCCCCACTTACTTTAATAACAAAACAATTCATACTACAAAAGTTTCTTCCATTTGTAATTGCAGATATTTCTCTGTAAATTGAGTAGAAATTACTGATAAWTCAGAAATGTGGAGCTCTATTTTTAAAGTGGCATATTTTATTTTAAATAATGCTTATATTAAGAGATTTGTCATCTGATGGCTAAAAGCACATCAGACTGCTCAGAGATTCACATCCATTTGTAAGCAGAGGTGTGATAGCTGCATGGTGAATTAAWACAGTAATTATATAAGCAACAAACCTTCCCCTATARAAATGTGAAGATTTTAATAAATTGGTGCTCTGTCCCCATTCCAGGCAGGGGAGTGACCCGTTCTGAAGCCCAAGGGGGAGAGACTTTGCCCAAAGGACCCACAAATAAACAAAGCTTGGCAACAACATAGTCTGAACACAATGCGTCTATTTAAATTAGAAGTCACTGAGTTCCTTTGAAAATGACTGTGTCTATTTCTGACCAAAACTTGCATTAACTTCCAAATTACTGTGCTCTCAGTTCATCTTGTCATCTGCTCTGAGCCACAGGAACACACAATACTGGTCACAGAGAAACATCTGTGTGCAGGAGCCTCTTTCCTACATCCACACCATGTCCGTCTGTACACTGCCCTCCTCACCAGCACATTTATTAACCTGCCTTTATTTTGGCTACCTCCAGCCACTCCAAGTTACAAATCACCTGCTAAAATTCAATCACTAACTAGTTTACTTTAAGAACATCCTACTGAAATTGCTTTAAGTCTAAAAGTTTTACCGGTTGGCTTCAAGGTTTGAGTATCATTTTAGTCCTTATGATATAAAGACCAGCCTGAGTCTGCCATGAGCAGTCAAACATTTCTATCATTTTACCATGTTGGAAAACAGCGATTTTCACTCCCCAGACACTCCAAGCAAAATACAGGAACCACATCCCACAAAGTTTCACATAATTAGCTTAACATTACCCAGCATTGCACAAAGGACGTTTACCTTGCTCCAGGACTCCCAGAACTGTGACRGTGGCCAGCAGGTCTATGTGATCTCTCATGCTGCTGACTGTGGAGCAAATCCCAGCCTGATGTGATGGCTATGGCTCGTCCCAACCCTCTCTCCCACCACCCACTTCTGCAGCTGCCTCTGAGCACAGGCGTTTCCTCCACCACACCTTAACTCACCTTAACCTTCTGCACAGAGCGTGGTTTTCCAAAGCAGCCGCCCACTAGAAAATGTCTATTCTGAGTGCCTTTGCTGAACAATGGAATAGGGAAGAATTTTGCATGAGCAAACTGTGAAATTCTTCTAATTACATTTACAGATTTTATACTATGATTCAATTATATGCTGCCATCAATGGAAAGATGATGAAATTCTTTCCAGCCCTTTTGTTGCCAGTTTTAATGAGCTCTGAAGTATCTCAATTATGTGCAAGGTTGTTAAAATTATTAGCAAGCATTTACAAATTAATGACTTGACCTTCTGCTCTTATTTCAACTAGCAGAGTTGACCACATGAAAGATYTGATGCACTCCAGCTGGAATAACTTAATTTTGTGATTTTAAAAGAACATTCAGATACTTCATCCCACTACTGCTCCAAGTTTACTGAAGAGGAGTACTTTTCTAGCACTCACTCACTCTTAGTAGTTTTCAGATGTTTTTAAACAGTACAAACCTTTTCCTGGCTAACTTACAAAATAAAGGTTTTCAGTTCTGAAGGCAGCAGAGGATGTAGAAACATACAAACCCTCATAAATGTTTCAGACATCAGGATTATAATTGTAAAATGTAAGATTTGAAAACCAGCAATATTTTAGCCCTGAGTAATTTTTCTCCCCTCTCCACAAAAGTAAAACAGGCATCAGTTCAAAGAGCTACCTTAGGTTTTTGAGCAACTTTATATGGATGACTAATCTGACTTYAAAATTTTTAAAATCAAAGAGGAGAAAGGCTTTCCCCTCATTTTGGTGGCTGAGCCATTGCATTTCTCTCTGCTCARTCACAGACACAAACCCTCACTACCGAATTTGTGCATGTACCAGAYCTACAGTTTCTCTCAAGTGGGTATACAGCAAGTTTTTTTTCTGGTTTGGCTCTTCACTTCAAAACCCCATCATGACAGCTCATCAAGTTGAAAACTTCAGTTAATCAATCAAATATCCAATGTTACACTTTTATAAATAACCACATATGTAGAAGAGCAAAATCACTCCCTTTCTCTAAAAATCACTTAAATGAAGTGAGTTTCAGACTCTCTAAGTTACAGCAGACTCAGACTAAAATACAACTAAAACCTAAACATTTACCTTAACYGAACCTATTGGTGACCAAAGATTTCATTTGGGGTGTCCAGTATAAAAATCAGAGGGGAAATGTCACCAGGGGTCTGCTTACACCATATTTCAACAAACAATTCAGGCTTGAGAAAACACTTCCACTACACATTTCCATTACTTTCAGAAAAAAACACTGGCATCAAGGGAAAAATAAATCAAATTAGTTTCTGAACAAAGGTTTGTCACAAGCTGCCACTGACTCCTTAAAATCTTTGGAAAACCACACGTGTCATTTCAGTGGGAGATGGCTTAGGAAATTTCTGTTTCACTCAATAATAAAAATGCAGCATTTTTAATGTGAAAATAAAGCAAAAATTAATATAACTTACAGTTCCCCATGGACTAAAAGCAGCTGGTTCAGTAGCACTGCTACTTATTATTACATTGGGTTCTTTACAAGCTTCTGAAGTTACAGGTCTCCTCCTCTCCCAAACAGAACACAAAACTTGGGGAGTAGGAATACACTAAAAATATACTCTGGTAAGTCAGGACACTGTGAGGAAACCTGGAGGCTGAGCTGGGGCTGCAAACACAAACTACGTTAACAATACCAACTCCAAGGCTTGGAGAATGATCCATCAATGTCTCGAGCTGGGCAGTGGTTTTGGGACTTTACCAGCCTTAAGCCAAAATTTCCTCTCGTTGCTGCCAGCACTCTGCTCCTTGTTCAGAAACATCAACTCCTGCTTGCAGCACGTGTCCCATGTTTCAGCTGGATTTCTGTGTGTGCCATGTGCCTACATCAGATAAGTCTTGAGCACTTGACCCTCTAAAGTTTGAACAGTAAATCCTGCTATTCGGAGGGAATTGGCACATTTTTGGAACTCTACACTTTGCACATGTGAGGTCTTGGTAGTTATTAACATCTTTTTCACTACTAACAACCACCTCTGCAGCTGAATTTCCAGTTTAAGGCCTACAACTGCATTCCAAAAAAACTATAAAAAAAAACCCTGGAAGCAGTGGGAGCAGGGGGAAGCATTCTCACAAAGCCTTATTTTCAAAGTAAAGTTTTCTAAGGCCCCTTTATCCAGTTATGGCCTGTTTAAATGGACTTTCTGAAACCGTAAGAATTGTTAAGAGGCAGCAGCAGAATTTGAGCCTTAGTAACAGGCTGAGCAAAAATTGTGTGTTGGGATGAAGGGAAGGATCATCTCTCTGGGAATGACAATGCTGAACTATGCTCAGCTCATGCAAATATATAAAGTCACACCATGTATGTTTAATACACTAGCAAAATATTTATTTTATAATGATAAAACAGAAGTGAAGGATTTCTTTTTGGTGTGCACCAGTAACTGTAGTAAAAGAATAAGGGGATTAATGGACTCTTTATACATAATTTCAATGACAAAAATTCATAAAGGTTAGCATCAAATTCAACTGTTCTCCATTTACAAGCATAAAACTTACCATAATACCCCCCCAAACACATATATAAAGAATTATAGTTTTAAAATCTATAAAAAGTAAAAAATATACAGTCAGAAGATCTAACTCTTATTCAAATCTTTAATATAAAATTGTAAACATTTATTTACACAAAGGAAATGTGTATAACAAAATTTTGAGCACCCTTTTCAATTGGATCGTGGTTTTTGGAAGGCAGTGGATGTTGCACAGTGACACTCTCACCTTGCCTGCCCAACCAAAACCGCAGTTTATAAATAAAGCCATGGGCGGCCGGCTGGGTTCAGTTCAGGGGAGATTTGTTTTATTGCTCTGAAGCTGCAGCAAATGGAAAGCCCGAGTGCAGACACAGACAGTGACACATTACAGGGCACCAGGRCAGAGCCCAGCCCTGCCCATGCACCCATGGACATCAAAACCGTATTTTCACTGCCATTGAACTGTTCCAACCTCGTTCCAGTGGCACCGCATTCCCAACGGTCCGACTGCGCTCCGTGCACAGGGTCCCAAGACAGGAGCAAGGGTTGTTTGGATCCTGTTCACACACAGAGACCAATGGGCATTTTAAGCCAGTTTGTCTAGAATCACACCTTATTTTACTCCAACAGTACCATGAAAAGGTCCTGTCATCAAACCCAGATACCTTCCTGAACAAACCCTCTGGTCAAGCAGAGCAATATCCACCTTAGCTTCCAGAAACAGTGGMGGAAAGAGAACATCTGCCATTTTCCTGGACATTTTGCTGGATTGCCTTTTTGGTAGTAATAATGCAAGCAGCAGATGTTCTTTTCCTCCAATTAAGAAATCACAACTGGATGGATTGTATTTTTACATATTCAGAACGAAGTCTGTGTGCAAAATCTACTGGAAAACAGAGCAGATTTCACAACCAAAACAGGGAGAAAGAGAAGCTGAATCCTACTACCCTGTTATTTCTGTCAAGTGTTTGTAARGGGGAGAAATAAACAGTGACATGGAACGATGTCACTTGAAATTGAGGTCCCAAGCACCCCTGACAGGAAGGGAAGGCACACTGGTGCAAAGTTAACCCTTAAAAATRAAAATACAGCAAACACTCCTTCCCCTGCCATTGCTAGTTAATATCTATACTCTTCTAATGACACTTACCTTGGACCAGTTTTTGGTTTAACTTAATAGTAAACCAAACTCACTAGCTCTTTTCTTAGATTGCCAGTATAAGAAAAGCTAGCATCAGTTATTTGCATCTCAACTACTTAATCTAGAAAATATCAGAAGTGTCAACAACCAAAGACACCAACACCTTCATCTTTCCATCCAAAGACAATCTTTATGTTAACTTTTCAAAAGCTCTACGAGGGATTAAGCCTGCTTCAGCGAAGTTTTCTTCACTGCTCAAAGGTGGGATCCACTGATCAATGCACATCTTTCATCAACAGTTCAACATGATAAAACAGCAAAKCTGATCGACAGAGCGGAATTCATCCACACTAGCTAAGTGTGCTGGACAAACCATGTTCCATGCATATTTGGAAAGGGTTAAGTATTAGTGTTAAAAAAGCAGTTTTCAAAAGTGCAAATTGTCTCATAAAGGAGCTGCAGATACAGTAAAATGTTTTCCTTCTCTGAAACCAATGATATCTTTCACTTCCCTTCACCCCCTCTGGAAAAAACCCTCTCACAATTCTGCAATACAGAAAACTCCTAGAGAAGCCAGTCTGTGTTGAAGGAAATTGCTTTTAAATCACAACGCTGGGTTTGGTTAGACAGTTTAAAGGAGTTTTTCAAGAAAATGGATTTAGAAAGGGAAGAGGTATTTGTGCATTTAAAACAAAAGCTTTCAACTTTATTTTAATTTTAAAATAAAGGTTAAGGCAAGGTGGTTTGTTGGTGGATAAGAGATTTTTTTGGTAGAGAGTAAGGACTTTGGAACATTGACTGTTTCCATTGTGTTTTTTGTCCTTTCTGGGACCAATCCCAACATATGGGTAAGAGGTCTCCTTAGACTGAGCTGAAGAACCAGCATCTGCTTCAAGGGATATTAAAAAAAGTAAATCCACCAGTCTATAGAAAGATTATCAAACTTGTAACCCAGTATTAAAAAAACAAAGCATTTAAAGGGGAAGACTTCCATATTGAAGCAACCCTGATACAAGTATTCTCCCAGGCTGCCTGTGCTATTATTGCTAATAAGGACTTTCCACCTCCCAGCCAAATTATTTTTTTCCTCATTTTTATCCTGAAGTGACAAAGTCTTGTGCTCATTGCTAATTTCGGGGGATGAACAGATCTCAAAGAAACAAACAAAGAAAACAGATGAACTGTCATGAAGCAAAGCCTTCGTTTAAATACAACTACCTTTGGAAATAAGTTATGAAKAAACAGGTGCAAAGTAAATGGCTTTACAATTCATGTTAAACCTACTATAGTTTAAAAGTTCTCCCGTAAGAAATTTCCCCTTTAAACACAGCAAGGTACAAGCCAAGAACTGTGCCTCTCTACAACAGAGTGCAAACTGCAGCTTAAAAGACTACAATCTATGAAGATGACTATCTAGACTAACTGGCCAAGTTTTAATACTTTGTCTCATCTATTACCAGCATCTAGAAATATTTACTGTGAAATATCACTTGCTTACTGAAAGTACAGGCACATGCTTCAGCAATGGGGAAAAGAAACAATTCCAAACACTTTGCAAGCATACTCAGGTGCATACAGCCTCTTCTCAAATAAAAAGTCCGAAGTTTGATAGACAGTACTATAACAGCATGTCAAGCTATGAACAAATAATTATTGCAAGTAATAGCTGCAGACTAAGCTCTACACACAATTTGTGCAACTATTTGCTTTCTTTCTGCACTATTTCTGTGGAATTTTTGTTTCGTTTTTAAATAATTAAAAAATTTAGTCTTAGAACACTGCAAGTGAGATTTCTGGAAGGCTGGCAAGGACACAGTATGTTTTGACCTGTTCCAAGTGTGCAACTCCTCAGAGACCGCAGACCAAGCGCACTCCTCCTGCAGACCTGCTTGGTGCRCCGTGACCACGTGTCAATTCTCACTGAGAAGCAACTCCAGTCTTTTTCCCAACCATTTACCTCTAATGCCTGCAAATCTCCTCAATGCCACAGGTTTTTTGGTCCAAGAGTTGTTTGTATCTCATGAAATAATTAAAAAAGTAGAACCCCCACCCCCGGCCCCATTTTAATGAGTTCCTAACAACTCATCCAAATCGTTCATCCACTCCTCTGAAGTCCTGTTTTTCAGCAAAGAGTCTATCAGATCTGTGTCACCAGTTAAGTTCTGAAGTCCATTATTGCCTGACTGGCTGCTGTAGGCGAAAGGCAGTTCCTGACTGGTTGTCCTCACAGGGTACCCTTGGCTACAGTGCAGGTTTCCTCTGTTGGGAATTTGYTGATTTGGGTTCTGGTTGAAAGCATTCAGATCTGGAACAGTCTGGTTCATGCCAGGCAAGACTTGCTGTGAGGGTACCTGCTGCTGTGTGGGTGGGTTTGTCCGCGGCTGCGCTCCCAAAGAGGACGACAACATCTGCCCGGAGACAGCYGCGTTCATCGAGGTCATGGGTCTGCTGGTGCTTAGGCTTACCTGAGGCATTCCCTGGGCAAACTGCTGGTTGGACATCTTTAGATGTGTTTGCTGCATGTGGAAGGAGGAGTTGGCAGTAAATGGTCCTAAGCCACTGTTTGCTTGTGTCTGGTTGTTAATGTTAGGGATACCTTGGTGTTGCCAAGATGGATTTTGAGCCCCCATAGCTGCTGGTACTCTTGCCATCTGTGGCTTAGATAAGGTTGGATTCAGTGCACCTTTGTTGTGCTGCTGAGAAATACTTGAGTTTGGTAAGGTGTTCTGCCCATAGCCAGCAGGAACGGCAGTGCCCTGGCCCAAGCTGCCCTGTCTCTGCATTGGTGTCTGTCCATTGGCACTTGGAGTGGCGTGCTGGGGAACCATCTGGGTCATCCCCGAGGCCAGGGGGTTGTATAAACCCCCCCGCTGCACATTCTGCATGCTGGGGTACTGAGACACYCCCCGGTCCTGCTGACTGGAGCCCGACTGGAGTGGAGCAACAGGAGTGTGTCCCATCTGAATCAAGTTCTGGCTCTGAGGAAACATCCGTGGGCTACCAGAGCTGGACTGTCCTAAATTACTGACCCCAGGCATGGCCGAAGATGACCCTGAAATACAAAGAAATATTTTGTACATGAAATACCACAGGTTCAACCAGAGCCAAGCCAGGCTTGGAGACACAATCATCCAGAATGGAAGTGCAGCTAGATYTGTATAAACTGACAAGCAACACACAGAGAGGCAGGAGTTTAATTAAAGAGCTTAAACTATTGCTCCAGTTCGCACCTCCACCTTGATCTCAAACACAGATGGGCCAATGTCCTAAAAAACTCTGAATATCAGTTCTAGGAGTTCAGCACCATTAAYGTTTAAAAAAATTATAACTTTAAAGGCAGGACTCTGATATTTCTTTGAGAACAAAGGTAAACACATGTACTTTGAAGTGCATGCACAATTTCTTAAGCTGTTAAAAAATACCTCTTACTGCACAAACACACAATGTCAGTCATTCAATGCATACCGAGTGTATCTCTTATCATACAATTGTAGGGTTGCCAGTTGGGCATTTTCCCAATTCCAGRAGTATCTTCTATTTATCTAATATAGAAATATCTAATTCAGAAATTTTTGGTCAAGTATCTTCTGGATTTCCACAGTGAAACACTCACTGTGYCAATATGCAATGCTGATAACCAAGCAATGTGATTTGAAAAATAACTTCTCAGCAAACCAAACAGAATTCTTTGTTATCACAAATTCTGAGTTTAAAAGTTCCTTCCTGTAGAAGAATCAGCTCCCTACTTGAAGTAAAAAAAGCAGAAAAGCTCTGTAATTGTGGTGCATATAACACCCTCCATACTCCTTACCGTCGACCAGGGAAAGTAAGCTGCAGAATTTTTTTCGTATTTTATGATACCTGAGGAGTACTCACTCTCCATTATTATT